GGTCCAGAGAGGGAAGCTGACTTGGCCTAAAATCTCAGTGTGCAGGATGGAGTAGAGCCTTCTGTGGAGGCAGGACAAAGTGGGATGTGTTTCCCAAATATGGGACACGTGCAGGATGGCATCAGGCAGCCAGTGGTGAGCACATCGTTCCGTTTCCAGTTTCTTTCTTAACCTCAAGGAGAAAGTCTCAGTTTGATGCTGTCATGATTTAACTCCTCTCACACTTGCAATGGGTCTCTAAAAAAAAAAAAAGAGGGGTCAGCCCTTGGGCTCAGAGCATCTGACAGGCACAAATTATCGATCTAAAATTTTAAGAACATTGTTTTGATATTCAAAGAAAAACATTAAGTAAGGACCTCTCTGGTTTTAATACAAATCCCACTACTCACAAGCTGTGACATTGAATAAGATACTTGGTTTCTCTGACCCTGTTTCCTCATCTGTATAATGAGACTAGTATTTTTTTCCTACCTCATAGATGTTTTTGTAGGATTAAATGAGATACCAAATCTCAGGAGTTTAGCACCTTGGCACATAGTTAAGCACTCAATACTATTTTTTAACATTATAACTTTATTAATAATATTAATATCATCATACCTCCTGGCTACTCAGAGTAGTGAAAGTCAGTGGACTGTAGGGTAATGGATGAAGACGCCCCAACCTAGGGTCCCTGCCCCTACACCAGTGGTTCTCAGTCGGGGATAATCTCCCCATATGGGGGACATTTGGCAAAGTCTAGAGGCATTTAAAAAAAAATTATGCCTGGAGTCAGTGGTGCCACTGGCATGTGGTGGGTAAAGGCCAGGGGTGATGCTAGATATCCCACGATGCACAGGACATAAAGAACCTACCATAAAGAACCATCTAGCTTGCATGTCAGAAGCCCTACCTCACACTGCACCCTGCACCCATGTTTGTGCCCCTGCAGCCCCTGGCTCTTCAACCAGCTCATTATTTCCAAAAGAAACTTGAACTTGGAATCCCAAGACCTCAGCCTCAGTTTCCTCACCAGCAGACGGGAATGCTGAAGCCTGCCTTGTCTGCAGTCATTCCAACTCCTGGTGGCTGAACCTCCTGGGCACTTCCCTGGCCTAGGCTGTCTCTACTGGTCTCTTGTCTCTTCCCCCAGGTCCGAGGAAACCCCTCTGATGGGCTTTTCTTCATTTGTTTGGCTTCTGATGTTTCCTCTAGGTCCCTGTAGCCTCCCTCTGAAGCCCTGCAGAGTCAAGGAGGCAGAGTGAATGCCCTTGCCTTCTCTGACTGCCCCTGCTACTCCTGGGTCTCAGCTCTCAGTCTGTTTTCCGTTAAGGCAGGGCTCACCCAGGAACCCGGCCTCACCGCAGGAGGTGAGCGGCATTTGCAGCTGCCCCCCCATCCCTGCATTGTAGCTGGTCTGGGGTGGAGCTGAGGCAGCGAAGCGAGCGCTAGCGAGAGGCTGCAAATACAGGTGAACATTAGCAGCGAGGTTTGACTCCCCGACCATGGTGTCTTCTGGTCCCTGATGCCAAAAACTTGGGTACTGTTGCTTTAAATCTCTCCTTGGCATGGATAACTATTCTGTGTGTGTGTTGACTTGATTTTACTCCTTCCCCCGTGCCTCTGCTCCTGAGGACAGACACCATACCTGCCTGAGTCCCAACACACTGCACATGCCTGACACGTAATGGGCACTCAGACAGGTACTTGTGGGATGTACAAACGAGGAGAGGGTTGGAGAGAGAAAGAGAGAGAGAGGAAGAGGGAGAAGGAGAGAGGAAGGAGGGAGAGGGAGACAGAGGGAAAGAGTAGGGGACAGATACTGAGAAGAGAGAAAAGTGAGTGAAGTAATAGAGACGAGTAGGGGTGTTGAATGAACGTTAAATGCTGAGAGCTAAACAGAGGGGAAAGAGGGCTGAGACGAGACTTGAGCACAGTGTGAGGGGGCGGGGTGGGGGGCGTGATGGGGAGGAGAGAGGGGGGAGAGAAGGAAAGATGAAAAAGGTGGGAAAGGGATGGAGACACTCGCCTCGAGAGAGGAAGGCAGAGATCCGGCGGAGAGCAAAGGGAAGAAACCTCGTGAGATCTCCTTGTCCAGGTTCGAGGGGAGGAGGACTGAAACACAGCCAGGAGCGCCGGGATTCTGGCGCGGTTTCCATGGAGACTGGGATGCTCCTGACTGCGGTGGGCCGGTCTCTCTGGCTGCTTGGGAGCGGAGGGCCCGAGAGGAGGCGACAGGACGGTGTGGGGTGGCTTCCTCACCAGGCTCTGTCCCATCCTGTCTCTCGCTGGAGATTTAGAGCCCGGGGATGGGAACGCGGGAGCGCATCGCCTGGGGAAAGGCCCTGGAGACGCCCCCTTCCCTCCCCTGCTCCTGTCCTTGGTGTATGGCCCTCTGCCCCTCTGCATAGGGTCCTGGAGGGTCTGGCAAAGTGTAGGGGTGTATGGGGTGATGGATGGCCAAATGTTCCCCGCAGGTTCCCCCTCCTCTTCCCGGCCTGCTCATGGCGGAGTGCGCCTGGGCTCGGTCAGCCCCAGGGATTTAAATACCCACAAGTGCCCACAGCTCCCAGTCTTACATCTCCAGCCCTGGTTTGCTTTTTCTCCCTGAGCTCCAGACTTGTTTCTCTCCATTCAAGCGTTTAACAGGCATCTTCAGAGTTGTTTAATTCTTTTTTTTTTTTTTTGAGTTGGAGTCTCACTCTGTCGCCCAGACCGGAGTGCAGCGGCCGCTCCCGGCCACCGCAGCCTCGACCTGCTGGGCTCCGGCGATCCTTCCGCCTCAGCCTTCCGAATAGATGGAATTACAGGCACGCGCTACCACGCCCGGCTGATTTTTTGATTTATTGTAGAGATGAGGGCTCACCAAGTTGCCCAGGCGGGTCTCGAGCCCGCGGGCTCAGGCAATCCACTCACCTCAGCCTCCCAAAGGCGCGGGATTACAGGCTGAGCCACCGAGTTGTTTCATTCTTTAGCTTACCCAACTCGTCCCCTTCGCAAGGCTTGGCATTTACCATTCCCTTTGCCTGGAGCTCTTTTCCCAGCCCTTCAGCAGCAGTGAGTTCCTCTCGAGCAGAGAATTGTCTTGGAGGAGGCGGGCACTGGAGAGGGGAGGAAGTCCTACTACCAGGCATGTGCATGTATTGGGGGGAGCTCCACATTCGGATGAAGCTTACGCACTGGGGGCGTGGGGAGGACCGGTGTGGACCCCGCCAGTGTCATGCTGGGGAGGGACCACACAGTCCGGGGCAGGAGGATTCTGGGACCTAGGGAGCGCTCCCTTCCGCGGTAGATGCGGGAAGGAGCTGGCGAAGCCTGGGGTCCCCTTCCCACCTTGGGACTGGATGGGCCACGTGGACGGTGGGCAGAACACCACCACTCCCTCTTCGCCATCACTGTCATCTAAAACCCAAGTAAAGCACGCTGGGGGCCTAGCCCGAGGTCAAGGGCCTCACGATTCCAGCCGGATCCCTTTGGAACCTTTGTGTCTCAGACGCAGTAACCCGGACACTGACGGGACCCACAGACAGTAAGACATCAGGGCCAAGCCCCGTGGCTCCCACTGTGATCCCAGCACTTTGGAGGGCCGCAGCCAGAGGATTGTGTTTTGAAGCCTGGAGTTTGAGACCCACCTGGATAACATAGCAAAACCCCATCTCTACAAAATAAAAAGACTTACATTCATACATGTACATATACAATACAGCATCAAGCCAGCAGACACAGAGCTCGCAGAGCAGGAGACCACACACCCACGGCGGTCGGCTGGATGCCGGTGGTTCTGATTGGCTTGCGAGGTGGCCTGCGCCCCATCTCCCAGCCAATCACCGTTCCCAGAGGAATGTAATGTGCTGATTGGCTCCGGTTTGGGTCCCGCCCACCAGGCTGTACTAGGAAGGAGCCCCTCCGGGCTGGGGCTGGAGGAGGGGGTCACTAAACCTTGAGGGGGTGGGTGCTAGCTGGGGAACCATTTCAAAGGCCTGCCCCTTCTGCCTCTCTCTGTCTCTGCCCTCGCCTGAAACCAAACTCTCTCCGTTATTTTTCTACTTGTGTCATCATTCTTACCGTTATGACTAGTTTTGACGACAGCTAAGATTTGCTGGGGACCTATTGGGCCAAGCACTTTACATTTGCTGCCTTCTGTAATTTTTACAGCCACTGGAGAATATCATCATTATCCCCATTTTACAGAGGAGGAAACTGAGACTCAAAGGTGAAAGATCTTGCCCAGGGTCAAACATGTAGAAAACAGCTGAGCCGGGGCTTGAGCCCCTGCCTTCCTAACCATTTTGCTGTAATGTACGCCTCCCCTACTACACTGCAAGCTCCCTGAGGCTAGTACCCAAGTAGCCCCCAACCTGGTCTAGTGCCTGGTACACTGTAGGCCCTCATAAAGTACCTGGTACACAGTAGGCCCTTGAGATACTACCTGAGTGAGTGCCTAGACTATGCTAGCTGCCTTACAAGCATTTCTTCACTCAATCCTCCCAACCACCCTGTGAGGTAAGTACTATGGTTTCCATTGTACAGACAGAACCAGGCCATTCAGGTCCAACATTGTCCCCCAAGGTCCTAATAGCTGAGTAAGGAGGAGAGCCAGGCTAATCCCTGTCTTGGCCACAGTGTGTGCTCTCGGCAGTGTCCACTGTGTAGATGAGAGCCTACTTCCAGGTTTTTGAATGAAAGGAAAATGGCTCCCAGAAAACATATGCCAAAACCAAACCAATCCAAAAAGCCCGACAAGGATGGGAGAGGGTAAGCCTGGCCAGGACGCTAGAGGAGCTGAAGGAGGTGGCTGGGGTTTGCTGTTTTCTCATATTTGGGGGAGGACTTCCTGGAGAAGGAGCTTATTTGATGGTGGAGGGGTGGGGACACTGAGTGTTGGTTGTGTCGATGTGCCCGGTGACAATGCTGCATCCCAGACTGCGGAAGGCTTCTGGTGTCCTCAGACCCCCGGGAGTAATGATCCCTTCTCTCTTCCTCCCCAATGGTGTGGTGGGCCCGGTGCTCGTGCCGCTCAGCTCTGTGCCTGGTCCTGGGCTGCATGATCTTCCCTGATGGCTGGGACGCCGAGACGATCCGGGACATGTGCGGGGCCAAGACGGGGAAGTATTCCCTGGGGGACTGTTCAGTGCGCTGGGCGTACATCCTGGCCATCATCGGCATCCTCAACGCCCTCATCCTCTCCTTCCTCGCCTTCGTGCTGGGCAACCGGCAAACAGACCTGCTGCAGGAGGAGCTCAAGCCGGAGAACAAAGGCGAGTGGGCGCTGGCGGCGGGAGGGCTGGGGTCGTTTTGGGTGGAAGGAGGAAAGGGGAAGCGTCAACAGGGAGCGTTACAGACACACCACTGCTTTTCGTACAGTTTGATGTCCTCACTCAAATCTGCTCATTTGCACTCTTGTGATCCTGCAAACCCACCTCGGGGTACAGACCCATGGGAAATGTGTACGATTGCTGGAGCAAACACCTGCAAACAACCTAAGTGGCCAGAGGTAAATTAAGGATGGCCTGTCCACATCGAGGAGGTCGCAGCTGTGAAAGGGAAGACAACTTCAGTGACAGGATGGATGCGGCTTGCAATATAATGTTGAGAGAGAGGGACTGGCATGTGGCTTGCCTGTAATATCAGCACTTTGGGAGGCCGAGGCAGGAGGATCGCTAGAGGCCAGGAGTTCAAGACCAGCAACATAGGGAGACTCTTTTCACACCACCACCTCCATTTCTTTTCTTTTCTTTTTTTTTGAGTTGGAGTCTCACTCTGTCGCCCAGACTGGAGAGCAGTGACACACTCCCAGCCACCCTAGCATCGACCCGCTGGGCTCCGGCGATCCTTCCGCCTCAGCCTTCCAAGTAGCTGGAACTACAGGCACGCGCTATCATGCCCCAGCTCATTTTTTTATTTATTGGAGACGAGGTCTTACCAAGTTGCCCAGACTGACCTTGAACCCGTGGGCTCAGGCAATGCCCTCACCTTGACTTCCCAAAGTGCTGGGATTATAGGTGTGAGCCACCATGCCTAGCCTCCATTTCTTAAAAAAAAAATTAAATAAAAGAAAGTATTTTTAAAAGTTGAGAGAGAAAAAACAAATTCCAGAAGATGACAGTGACAGATCTACTGTGCTCAAAACCAAGCAAGACTAAGTTATCTACTGTTTAAACATGCTGTGTATGGTAGTATTATTTAAAAAACAAAACAGAAAAGAAAGAAATGACAAATACAGGGGTAAGGATGGTGGGCATCTGTGGTTGCCATGGAAGGGGAGGAAGCGGAGAGCATGACATGGAGGCATGTAGGCCTGTGAGAGTTATTAGTAGTTATAGTTTGTGAACGGTGAGCTTGCCAGCGTTTACTACTGTATACTTTATAATTAGTGTATTGTGTATAAACCTTTGTATATGTCAACAAGCACTGCAGTCAATACAGGGCCCAGCTTGGTGGCTCAGCCTGTCATCCCAGCACTTTGGGAGGCCGAGACAAGTGGATTGCCTGAGCCCATGGGTTCGAGACCAGCCTGGACAACTTGGGGAGACCTCATCTCTACAATAAATAAATAAATAAATAAATAAATAAATAAATAAATAAGCTGGCCATGGTAGCGCGTGCCTGTAGTTCCAGCTACTTGGAAGGCTGAGGCAGAAAAATCTCCGGATCCCAGCATATTGACGCTGGGGTGGTTGTGCGCAAGCCACTGCACTCCAGCTGGGGTGACAGAGTGAGACTCCAACTCCAAAAAAAAAAAAAAATTACAGTACAACAAACATCATACATAAGGGTAGCACCTCAGGGGTAACCGCTGTTATCAGACCCTTTTCTATGCATCTATAAACATTATTACATAAAATAAGTTACACATCTGATGTGGTGGTTCACATCTGCAATCCCAGCACTTTGGGAGGCCAAGGCAAAAGAATCTCTTAAGGCCAGGAGTTCAAGACCAGCCTGGGCAACATAGCGAGACCTGGCTCTACAAAAAATAAAAATATTAGCCAGGCGTGGTGGCTCGCACCTGTAGTCCCAGCTACTTGGGAGGCTGAGGTGGGAGGATCATCTGAGCTAAGGAAGTTGAGACTGCAGTGAGCCGTGTTTGTGCCACCGCACTCCAGTCTGGGTGATAAAGTCAGACCCCCAACTCAAAAAAAAAATAAAGTAACTATGGTTTATTTAATTATTCTTCTTTCAGGGACCATTAGGGATGTCTTCAGGTTTTTACTGTTATTGACAATGCTACAATGAACATCTTTATAAGTGGCTTCCTACACACACTTGCAAATATATTTTTTTTAATTTTTTGGTCTCGAACCCGTGGGCTCAGGCAATCTAATCCACTTGCCTTGGCCTCCCAAAGTGCTGGGATGACAGGCTGAGCCACCGAGCCCAGACCGCAATATTTTCTTGATATCTTTCCAGAGGTGAAATTGCATGCTTAAAATTGTAATGAGAGTGCCAGAGAACTCTCCAAAAGGGTGGTACCAAGCAGAATCTTCTGACCCAGATGCCCACCCTATACGCAGAGCAAGGAGAGACACTACATGGTAGACTCTTGTCTGTCTGGATGTGCATTCTTTACTTTGAGAAATGGGTATAGTTACACCCTTTCTTTTTTTTTTCTGGAGTCGGAGTCTCACTCTGTCACCCAGGATGGAGTGCAGTAGCACACTCATGGCCACCACAGCCTCGACCTGCTGGGCTCAGGCGATCCTTCCACCTCAGCCTTCAGAGTGGCTGGAACTACAGGCACGCGCCACCACACCCAGCTAATTTTTCTTGATTTATTGTAGAGATGAGCTCTCACCAAGTTGCCCAGGCTGGTCTCAAACCCATGGGCCCAGGCAATCCTCTCACCTCGGCCTCCCAAAGTGCTGGAATTATAGGCATGAGCCGCTGCACCCGGCCACACCCTTTCTTGAGCTACTAGCGTGTTCTGAATCTATGTTTAGCACTTTCATTAATTACATTTATCTCTTGAAGGCCCTCTTCAAATATAAAATGGGAATGATGGCAGCGAGGGCTAAATGGCAGGAAATAGCTTAATATTGTGGTTGAGCTCTTGGGTTGTGAAGGTGGATTGTACTGGAAGCAGCTTGAGCTTAGAAATTGCTTAACCTGGCCGGGCGTGGTGGCTCACACCTATAATCCCAGCACCTTGGGAGGCCGAGGTGGGAGGATCGCCTGTGCCCAAGGGTTCGAGACCAGCCTGGGTAAATTGGCAAGATCTCATCGCTACAACAAATAAAAAAAAATTAGCAGGGTATGGTGGCACACACCTGTAGTTCCAGCTACTTGGAAGGCTGAGGCAGAAGGCTCGCTAGAGCCTAGCCGGTCGAGGCTGCAGTGGCCGGGCTGGGAATGCGCCAATGTCCTCCAGCCTGGGTGATAGAGTGAGACTCCAACTCAAAAAAAAGAAAAAGAAATGAAAAGAAATTGCTTAACCTTAAGCTTCAGTTTTCTTCACTTCATTGACTGAAGCTGTTGAGAATGTGACCACCTCCCAGGGCTGTCATGGGAAGAAGAAAGAAAGACTAACTGTGAAGTGTCAAGCTGAGTCTGGCACATGTGGGGATGCTCAGTTGTGATCCTTACAACTCCCCACCCAGCAGGCATGGAGACCACACTACAAATGGGAAACAAAGCCCAGCTTCAGAGAGCTCCAGGAACTTGCCCAAGGTCACTCACTTCAATGGTGGAGGAAGGATGGGAACCCATGCTCACCCCCACTGTCTTGCAGCCAGTCTCAGCCTGGTGAGGCCAACGATCGCCTACTTGCTTTGGGGAGCCCTCCTGGGATTCAAGTCTGCTAATGCATGGAGGCTCCTTTTGATACAGACCCTCAGACCCACGCAGGAGTGGGGTGGAGGAGTGGGTGTTTGTGATCTAGCAGTGAGGTCAGGGCCTGCCCTCTGGTGGCAGCTTCCAGAAGTGCAAGACTAGGACTGCTCTCTGGCCTTTCTCAAGAAAGGGTTTGGGGATGCATCCCTCTTCTCCCTCCCAAAGTCCCTTAACAACTCAGTGTTTATTTATTTTTTATTTTTATTCATTTATTTTGAGTTGGAGTCTCACTCTGTCGCCCAGGCTGGAGTGCAGTGGCCGCTCCCG